CATATGATCAGTCAGATATTCTCAGTATCCTTCTGTAGAACTATATTTTAAGTCAATCAAGTTTCTTCTTTATCTGTGCAGAGATTGTCCCTCGTTGACTGTCAGATAGGAGGAATGATATTACATAACAGTTCAGTACTATTTTTGTTGGTTTCAATCCTGGTAGAAATGACTGCAAAACACTTGCCTTAGCAAATTTAAAGGCAGAACCACACAAATGTATGCTGGCATTTTTTGCTTGCCAATAAAACAGGCTTGGTTCTTGGTTGCATCTGACTCAGTCTCCCAGTGTTTTGTCTTGAAGTCAGAATACTACATTCACTTGTCCAAACTTGCATTTGTGTGTCAACTTCAATTCATAGTTTGTTAACATTTTGCCATATTTCTGCTGCTTTGTCTTATTACTGTTAATTTGCCTTGCATATATTGTTTGCTTGCTTTATATTATTTTTTTCTCTGTTCTTTTCTTTATCTCTTTTTCTTGTTATTGAAAAACTTTGTCAATTGTTTTGTAGGACAGTTCTGTTACATATTTTTCATTTAACATGGCTACTCACTCTACATTTCTTTGTTTCTAATGAAATTTTCCTTGTTTCTTAATACTTTGTTTATGTTTTGGAAGGCAGGTTTCACTAGTCACTGTAAATATTGCATAGACATTCCAAGACTATATTGCAAATCTTTGTGCTGTAAGTGAACACTGGTAGATAGTACCAAAACTATGTATCGACTGAACAGCCAGTTCTACTTTCAGTTGAAATGTATCAAATTTTACCATCAAAACAATTTTTCTGGAAAAAAATTCTGATGTTCAATGTTATCATGTTTCCCAGTAGTGATAATATTTTATTAGAAGTACTGTGATGTAACAGGAGAGAGCTATGGTTGAAAAATTTATTCTTCCATTTGTATTTCCCTGCATTATTATATCTGTGATATAATAATACGATACTTCATGGACAGAATGGTTGAAAGGAAAAGGAATGACAAACATGGTTTGTTCTCAGAGAGACTTTTATATCACTAACATATACACAAAACTATATATACAAGTGCCCCATACAGAGAATAATACATCAATTATATCTACACAGTATAGCAGAGTGCAAGGAGAAGCAAAAAGAAAATACATAATATGGAGATACTCCTGTATCTGGAGAAGCAACCTTTAGGACTCCAGATTCAAACAGGTTGGGGCATAATCCACAAATGGGGAACAGCAAGTCTTGGGTTTTCCCAAATTGAGGACTGTAAGCTGGAGTTTCATTCTATTTCTGAAGAAAGATTGATTCCCAAAGGGAAATGGCATTGTCAACTTGTAAGCTGCAGAGGAGGTAGATTTTGGCACAGGCTAAATAGAAAGCAACCTTTTGGTTTTCTGCTGTAAAAAAATTGAATTTGGCTGCCTCTTTCATCACTGTATGGAGTGATGTCACTAAGTAGCAGCCACGTGACCAATGGGCCTTACCTCCATTAAAGGTTGATAAGCATTTTCTGCATCCTTACAGTGGTATGTCAATGTCATGAGAATGTCATTATTTTCTCTTTGTTATGTGCTATCCATTTTAGTTGTTGCTGCTATTGAAAGGCTTCAATTGATATGCTTTCTGCTATTTGATACAGTTTGTGATTCTGTAATGTCACTCCACAAGTTCTGAAGTAAGATGGTTCTCACTAAGACCTAATGGTCACATAACTAACAAATTAGTAAGATGCTTTTATGGTAAGACAGGGTTCTCAGGATAGAAGTTCAAATCTCACCAAAAGTTGTTTTTCATCTATACTGCTTCTATAACAATCAGGGAGCAATAATCAAAGAGTCACAAAAAGTAACAAAAGGATAATAAAGGTCAATGCTTGAAATTGAAAGATTGTTGCATGTAATGGAGTGATGAATGGACTAATGATTAGGAGCATGAAAAAAAATCAGCCAAGTTTTAATTCCCTTTATATTAATGGCCTTCAGAAAAGCATGAGTACTTCTCTTTTCCTCTGAGCTATGGATTAAACAGCTTAGCAGACTTGATTCTCTAGACTTGATAGACAACAAATTTAGAAGAACAACGATGAGTTCAAGACAATAGAGAATACATAATATTTTTTCTTGTCAAGAACAAACATAGTATCTATTATAGATATTAAAAAAAGGATGCTGTGGAGAGTTACTAACGCCAGCATCAAGGCATGGCACTTAATGAGAGAGAGATTATAGATAATATCACATGCATAAACTTTTTGCCGTTTGTCATTTTCTGAGAGTTTCTGATGTTATTTGTTTGATCTTCTGAAAAGGAGAACTTAAAATCCTGATCACAGCAGTTTCAGCTTTGAATTGGTTTTAACAAAATACACATGAAATACTTTCAAATCAATAAATCAATGTTTAATCTTTGTATTATTTTAATCAACTTTATTGTCATCATAAAATGAAGACAGCCAGGTGTCATTTCCAGGATTTAGACAGAATTTGGAGAATCTGAGATTGACCAATCAAGAAAGATTAGAAAGAAGGAAAGTCCCGATAGAAAAGAGGGAAAATTACCAGAGAAGAAGGTAGATTATTAAAGAAAATGGGAAGGGAAATTATAAAATTATTATTCTACCAGAAAAGGGTGAAAATTTCTAGAGAAGTAAAATAGTCAAGTTCCCAGATAATAAGAAAAAAGGACTAGACAAAGGAAGAAGTAATTTACCAGAGAAGGAAAATTTTCAGGAAAATGAAGAAAACATATTTCCAAAGACAAAGGAAAATTACCAGGGAAGAAGAAGAGCCGAATGTAAATTACCAGGGAAGAAGAAGAAGAGAAGAATGTAACTTACCAGGGAAGAAGAAGAAGAGAAGAATGTAACTTACCAGGGAAGAAAAAGAAGAGAAGAATGCAACTTACCAGGGAAGAAGAAGAAGAAGAGAAGAATGTAACTTACCAGGGGAAGAAGAAGAAGAGAAGAATGTAAATTACCAGGGAAAAGAAGAAGAAAATGTAAATTACCAGGGAAAAGAAGAAGAGAAGAATGTAAATTACCAGGAAGAAGAAGAAGAGAAGAATGTAAATTACCAGGGAAGAAGAAGAAAGAGAAGAATGTAACTTACCGGGAAGAAGAAGAAGGAAAGAATGTAACTTTACCGGGGAAGAAGAAGAAGAGAAGAATGTAAATTACCAGGGAAGAAGAAGAAGAAGAAGAAATGTAAATTACCAGGAAGAAGGAAAGAAGAGAATGTAAAATTACCAGGGAAGAAGAAGAAGAGAAGAATGTAAATTACCAGGGAAGAAGAAGAAGAGAAGAATGTAAATTATCAGGGAAGAAGAAGAAGAGAAGAATGTAACTTACCAGGGAAGAAGAAGAAGAGAAGAATGTAAATTACCAGGGAAGAAGAAGAAGAGAAGAATGTAAATTACCAGGGAAGAAGAAGAAGAAAAGAATGTAAATTACCAGGGAAGAAGAAGAAGAGAAGAATGTAACTTCCCAGGGAAGAAGAAGAAGAGAAGAATGTAAATTACCAGGGAAGAAGAAGAGAAGAATGTAAATTACCAGGGAAGAAGAAGAAGAAGAGAAGAATGTAAATTACCGGGGGAAGAAGAAAGAAGAATGTAAATTACCAGGGAAGAAGAAGAAGAAGAGAAGAATGTAAATTACCAGGGAAGAAGAAGAAGAGAAGAATGTAAATTATCAGGGAAGGGAAGAAGAAGTAAAGAAGAAGAAGAAGAGAAAATTACCAGGGAAGAAGAAGAAGAAGAGAAGAATGTAAATTATCAGGGAAGAAGAAGAGAAGAATGTAAATTACCAGGGAAGAAGAAGAGAAGAATGTAAATTACCAGGGAAGAAGAAGAAGAAGAGAAGAATGTAACTTACCAGGGAAGAAGAAGAAGAGAAGAATGTAAATTACCAGGGAAGAAGAAGAAGAAGAGAAGAATGTAAATTACCAGGGAAGAAGAAGAAGAAGAGAAGAATGTAAATTATCAGGGAAGAAGAAGAAGAAGAGAAGAATGTAACTTACCAGGGAAGAAGAAGAAGAAGAGAAGAATGTAAATTACCAGGGAAGAAGAAGAAGAGAAGAATGTAAATTACCAGGGAAGAAGAAGAAGAGAAGAATGTAAATTACCAGGGAAGAAGAAGAAGAGAAGAATGTAAATTACCAGGGAAGAAGAAGAAGAGAAGAATGTAAATTACCAGGGAAGAAGAAGAAGAGAAGAATGTAAATTACCAGGGAAGAAGAAGAAAAGAATGTAAATTACCAGGGAAGAAGTAGAGAAGAATGTAAATTACCAGTGAGGAAGAAGAGAAGAATGTAAATTAACCACGAAAAAGAGAAATGGAAATTAACAGGGAAGTGAAAAGAATAAAAGAGTAATTTTCCAGAGGCCTGTTCATACAGAAGTATTTTCCAACAAAGTCTGTGATCTGGATTACAGCCACAAATTCAACACCAGCCTTCAACACTATAATCAAATCATCTTTATGGGTAATTTCATCGTTCGGTTCTAAACTTACTGTGGGCCATCATATATTGAAATTGATGGAAGAGTCCATTATACTATCTTCTATACATAGATGCATCCAAATTATATCTGTGTATCAATATTAATGCATTATATATGCATACATGAGACCGCTGAAAAGTTCTCAGCCCAATCTATTTCCCCAGATTTCAATCAAAATACTAATTTGCTTTTGAAATAGGCAGGCCATGATCTTTTCAGCACCTTCTTGTATATATAAACTGAAGTGTAAATTATTTTTGGATAGAGTGTATCTGCAAACGAACAAAATTAATAGAAAGACAAGAGGTAAAACTATTCTTAACTGATGCGTTTTGTCAAGTGAGGGACTCGTGATCCATAAATTGAAGTGACGAGAAATTAGACACAGCAGGAGATTGAATGTTTTTGCTCAACCCCATTTTTAAAAATTGCTATTGCTTGGATGATGTATGTCAAAATATGCAAAGTGGTATTGCACTTGAAATAAACATGCTATGAGGATAAGATTTTACAGCAGAATGTTATTAGACAAGAGAGATGAGGCAGCAACTGTTTTCGAGCTTTTCCTCAGGCAACAACATCAATTGTAGACTCGGAATATGTGAATTCTGAACAGACATCAATGACATGTAAAAACAGTGGGTACCTACAAGAATATGGTAACCAGATACATGGTTCATAATCATTCAGCAAAAAACTGTGTATCAAATTACCTTGAAATTCACTGCTGATGCTGCTCAACCCATCAGTCAACATAATGTACAGCATACATTGATTTCCATCAGGTTTCACAGTCATCAGCCAATGAGCATATTCTTATTGACCCATTAACTGTTAGCATCTCATACTGCACAATACTGCACTTGTACTTCTATTAAATACTATCCAACTCAACACCAAAAGGTGCACAGTACATATACATCCTCACAATCCTTCACAACTTCTCTTTATAATTTGTGAACTGCCATTACTTCCAGGAAATTACAGGAAGTGCAAATCACATAACAGTTATTGATGCATTTACTTCATACTAAATCTTTGGAAAAGGTATAAATCCATTTCATCTCCCAGCTATGGGTTAAACAGCAGAGTATACTAGGTTCTCTAGCTTTGCTTAGAAGTCATAGAATGAAAAAAAAAAGTGTTCACTTCAGAACAGTGAAGGAGGCAACAGGAAATCATTCCCAATTTAATAACTTTTGTGAAATGAAAGTAGTTGTATCTTTGATTTAAATCAGGACTCAGAAGATATAAATTTCTCAGCCAATGTTACAACTGAACTGGGTTACTTATTCATGTGTCAAACTGTAATCTATTTGTGGCAAGCAACTAATTCATAAATTCTGATTGAGACTAATTCTGAAGTTTGTCAAAAACGTCTGCACAGAGGGGTGTGACCAAAAAATAAATAAATAAAACACACAAATATATATGAATATAACAGTAATTTTTTAAGTATGTACATGAATGATTTCCACATGTAGATTTGCACATACATTCATGAACTAATATGTAAATCTTTACCAGTGTTAGTATAAATAAGCTTTCATTTATATGAGTGTTTGTTGAATCAGCATCCTTTGGTTCAATCAACAAAACTTACATATTAAAAACTTTTATCTTGGCAAAATATATTGCAAAGAATTAAAATGTAAATCAAAAAAGACATTGAAGTATTTAACAATAATGACATACTGAAAATATTTTTTTAAATTAATACATTTAAATGCCTTTAAACTAAAACCATCAAAGACAGAAACATCAGATGCTGAGGGGAAAAGCTCAAATTAATAAAAAAGTTTACCATCATTGATTACAAAAATGTTTTTGTCTAATTCATTTTATTTTTACTTTATCCATGAAGTCAAATATCTTTCTTTGTAAAATGGAGAGAACATATCATACTCTGGTCATCAAATAGATTTAAGGTATAAAGATTTTGGCACACACACACAGACATATATATATATATCTCCGATGCGATGAGAACAAAAGTAATATATAAATTCCAGCGTTCACAGCATTAATCCAAAAGAAGGCTCAATACCGATAGTAGATAATTATTTATTTATTATAATTTTATCATATAGACAAAACCATTTTACTCACTACAAAGATGCAACTTGGTTTCAGTGCATTTTAACTGCACTTCGACGGGTGAGAATTGAAAATGGTCTATTTTCGATTCTCACTCGTTGAAGTACAGTTGAAATGCACTGAAACCAAGTTGCATTTTTATAGTGAGTAAAATGGTTTTGTCTATATGATAAAATTATAATAAATAAATAATATATATATATATAATAAATAAATAATATATATATATATATATATATATAGACAAAGTCAAAGTAAAAATTCCTACAATTTTCTTATATATATTTACTGTTTCAGTTAATATAAGTATTGAATATTCTGTTTGAGATGGAACACTTTCAACCAAAAAGAAAAAGCCATGAGGTAAGATGGTAAAGTCTCAAAAAAAAAAAAAAAAAAAAAAAAAAAGAAAGAAAAACAAGCTTTATGAGGTTTGGTCCACTCACACACAATCAATTTTAAAAACAGTCTACTCAATTCTGTAACGCTTTATGATTGGCCTGGAGAGAAACAGATTTGCATGTTTACTGACCAACAATCAGTGGAGAGGCATTTTTTTCTCTCACCAAAACAGCATGCAATATCAGAGTGCTTTGACTGACAAGGGAACTTACCATTTTCTTCTGTATAGTATATAGGCCTCCACCAATCATCAATAACCATAGATTTGATCCCAACCATTTGTAAGGTAGGATCAAGCCTGGGCAGGATGGTATGGGTGACAAGATGTTACCCATTCAGCATGTCTTCCCTCCCCAAGTCTGAGTGATCAAAAGGAATCATTACAGTTTGGCATTCGTGCCATTGCAGGAGCTGCAAGAACGAGGCTGAAATCAGTGACAAACTGCCTTAGGGGCTCCAAATTTTTAGCTGTATAGTATGTGCTACACCAGGGATAAATACAGTTTTGAATTCAGAGTTAATTTCTCCTAGACCAGTTGCCACCTAAAGCTGTAGAACCCAGTCTGGCGAGCTATTTATCCATAGTGGATGGGGAGAAGAAGAGAATTCATATCTTTTCCCAAGGGTATTAGCATGATCTATCGACTGCCCTTCTCCTCATCCTTTCTTATATCACTCCTATCTGATCTTGCTCCAAATTTTCTGTAACCCCTTGCATCCTAGTGGCTTTCTGCCTTGCTTGGGGTGAAACGCTTAAAAAAAAAAAAAAAAAAAAAAAAAAGTGAATATAATGGATTTGACTGGAATTGAAACTCATCTCTCTTATTCCTCAATCCGAGCCACTATCCATTACACCATGATGCCTCCTCTTTCTTCTGTGCATGTAAAGTTTTCTTGTGACATGTTTCGTCCTTTAGGACTTCATCAGAATAAATTTGTTATGTTGATGTGACTACACATGTGCATAAATGAGGAATGCTGGGAATTTTAAGTTTAAATTTTTTTTTTTTAATCTAGCCAATTTCACTTAGATTCCTTTTCTTTTTCTAAATGAAAATGGTGAGATAAAAAAAAAAATTAAAATTAAAAGTGTGGGGTCAGAGGGGTCATTGCCCTGGACAATTTGAGAAAAAAAATAATTAGGTTGAGGAAATATATATGAAAAGTTGAATTTATAACAGCTTATGGCCAAGTTCACAATCTACTGCAACAGGTAGAAGAAAGATCCCATGATGATTTTCAGGACAACTAAAAATGACCTTAGATATTTATACTGACACTAAGCACATTCAGAATGGATTTTATATACTAGAAAATACATGTGTAAAAATCTATCTATACCTTTAATAATTTCATGTGGTAAGAGACCTTAGTTATCAGTGAATCCTTGCATATACCATGAAAAAAATCATTAGCATCAACAAAAATAAACTGAAATGTGATTTATTGTTTGCATATATTAACCAATTTGTATGCCTATAAAATATACAAAACAGAACAATCAGCTGGTGTCAAAGCAAAAAGAAACATCATATTTGATAGCATGAATAAGCTGCAGGGTCAACAAAATACTCCTTCATTTCAAGAAATATTCTTAAGATACTGTTTGACTACAATTGTAATGGTTAAATATGAGCTTCAGGGAGAGACTTAACTTCTGCTATCATAAGCTAAGTGATTTTTTCAGTTCAGTGAAAAAAACATGGCCAACATGCCATAGGATATGGTTAGTTTCCTTTGTATTTTTTAAACTCTTTCTGTTTATAATTATATTTTGGACATTTGCATATAGTACCTAATATGTAGGATTGAACTTATATATATATGCACACAAATAATTGTATGACTGGTTCTCATATGGCGTGACTTAGCAATTCTTGGCTTTCTATTGGGAACTTTAGATAATACCATATATGGAGACACTTTATTTATGCATTTTATTTAATCAATTATAGTAAGCAAAAACCTCACAGACATTATAAAAAAATAAGAGCACAAAGAATAAAATATAGCCAAACAAGAAACAGATAAAGATCATCTAATAAACACAAAAACATGGTATATTCAGCTGAAAACATCAGAAAATATAAATTCAATGGTTAGAGTGAATATATTCTATGGTGTTTTATTTAATGGATTTTCTGATACTTTTATGATTAAGAAAAAATTTCAGTAGACATCCTTTCCAGTTTTCATTATTTCCAAGATGATTTCAATTTGATTATATAGGGTATAGCAGAAATACCTCCCATACCTCCAATGATCAAGACATTTTTATTTTCTTATCTTAGTTGCTATTAATTTTGAATTTATTCATTTTTCACTAATTCAATATTTGCATAATGACTGAATTACATCATCCCTTTCTTTCTAAATACACACACACATATA